GCATGCGTAGGCCGTGAGACATCTGGCCCTACCAAAAAGGAGAGATGCCACTTTTTTACATTAACTTTGCTTTACTAGGTATGCCGAGAAAATACTTTCGGAAGCTTTCAGATAAGCCAAGAGGGTCATATACAAATGAGCAACTATCTACTGCTATAGAACATGTCCAATCTGGAGAAATTTCTAAGCGTGAGGCAGCAAGAAGATATGGCGTTCCTACGCGAACAATTGACAGAAGAATAAAATCTGGAAAGAGAGGAAAAGGATCGCTGGGCCCGGAAGGTATTTTAACTTTTGCGGAATTACAAAATTCCCAGGTAAAGTTCACCTTATTGTAGGGGTTCTTGGGAAAGAGAACGAGAGAAGATTAGTTGCTTATATCAAAAATTTGTGTGCATCTGGATTTGCTCTTGATCGGAACTCAGTGAGGTCTATGGCTTTCCATTTTGCAGAAAAGCTTAAAATCAAGCATAAATTTTCCAAAGAAGATCAAAAAGCTGGCAAGCAATGGTTCAGATCCTTTTTAGAGAGAAATCCAGACCTTTTTACAGGGTGTTTCAAAACAAATGCGAAAAACTTCAGGGGGTGGTTCCTTCCCGATAAAGACTGCTCGTACAAGATTTTAAGACCTCTGATTAGCGAACGTGCTAAAGTTGAGGATCGGGGATCTCTCTTAAGCAGTGAGATGGGCAATCTGAGATAGGTAACCTCCTAAAATGTTAGGAAAGTGAAGGGCTGCCATAAGTGCTGGAACAGTTATCTTTTTATTTACAAAGAAAGTATGCCTGAATAAAAAACTTAAAATAAGAAAACAATGAATTAAAAATGCAGGATTTGGTGTCCTTGAGACGGCTGCGACGTTCTCTGTAGAGGTACTGATATTTGATATTGATGTCTCTAGTGAGCAGATACCATCATTCGCATCTGGAATAATTCGTCGAGCTCGTTTTGCCCCTTGTTGAATAGGACATCCATTCAACCATCTTACCTTCCCGTACTCTAGGAGACGACAAGTGATCCAGGTTTCTTCGGCTTTTAATTCCATGCCCATTCTAGCAAAGTTTTCTTTTAATGTATCTAATAACGACATTCGCAGCTGGACTCGATTCAGTGTTTGAATCCATTTTAAAGTCTTCCTTTTTAAAATGATAACCAGATTGTCTCCCTGGTCCATAACTGACACTGCTATATTTAACTGATCGGCTGTGGATAGTATGATCAAAATAGATTGTATTGTCCATAATTTCTGTGCCAAATCTTCTCTGGAGTATTTATTTCTAGGAGATAGTTTTCGTTCATTTGTCATTATGAAGCTCCTTTTTAGCCATGTATGTGTGTCCTAGTAAACATTTTTCAGTCCAAAGAAGTTGCCAAGTTCTTTCTATAAATGAGAGAGCGCAACATGCCGCTGATGCATGTTCCAATTTTTCAAATATATATTTGTAACCTCAGATTCTTTTCCTGCAAAAACTCGAAGACCTGAGAACTGCCTTCGTTTCAATTTGTGTTCTGTATCCCTCACTGTTTGTTCTTCTACATACTTAAATAAATTTTTTGCAATATTTGATTCTTTCGCCGTTTACAGCAGACACTGTCGGTATGTCTGTTTAGTAAAATTGCGTCCGGTTTCTGAGAGTTCTAACTTTTTTATAGTTAACATCTGAATGTCGTTATCTTTATCTGGATGGCCATATTCCACCTCGTCCAATACTTCTTGCCAATAATTCATCATTCTCATGCCCTTTTAGATAACGAAGCATTACTCTTGTTTCATTAACAGGTTTCTTCGGTTTGGTCTGGTTGTGGAGAATCTTAAATGCACAAAGATCATACATTTGAGTCCTATTAGATAATAGAGGGGCACATCTTTTGTCAGACAATAACTCGCTAGGGTCAAGGCTTAAGTCAAAATCAGCTATTTTTTTCCTAAAAATAAAGTTGAGAAATAATCTGTTGTTTCAAGGAACACCCAATCTTTTTTCTGTGGTTACTTGATTGCGGAAAACAACTCCTTAATTCGAGGATGAGTTCTCATTGTCATTGTAACAGGTGGTCATTTGTGTTTTTCATGGTAATATCTTTGATAACTTTGTTGGTAATAAATTGAATAGTGTAACTTGTAAGTATAACTTTGAATAGTCCTGCTAGGCTATCTGCATAGACTGAATCAATCTTAGAGAATTTTGTTGTGTATTTCCACATGTCAGGCAAATATTTTTTCCATGTGAGGTAAAGGTGTCCAAATATTTTTATTGTAGTCACTAATTCTAAGTAAATCTTGTACGCATAGATCCTGTTGTATCGGGTATAAGTAACAACTTTATATTTTGTCTAAATGTAGGATCAATCTTGTCTAGTTCTTGGCAATAGAAATATACAGTCCTTCAAAATCGACATCGTATTGCCGCGCCGGTTCCGTTATCACTAAAGCCATATTGATGGAAGTATAAACAAAACTGACAAATCGAAACTATTCAGATTGTTGGAAAAACTTTGTCCCGTCAACCCCACTGTTCCAAATTATTTTGAATGCACAATATTAGATGGATTCTACTTTTTACATCTTTTGGGTGACGTCCCATTTGGGTGACGAACACATTCGGAAAATTGGCTATTCATATTCTTAAAAGAGCATGTAAAAGTTCAAGTAACAGGGTCGATCTGGTTTTTGATAAATTCGTAAATCCATCAATTAAAGACATCGAAAGAGATAGACGTGCAGGAAACACAGGAAGGTCCAATATCTTCAATATTACGGGGAAGGAACAAAAAATACCTAACGACTTTTTTAAAGCTTTAAGGAATGACTCATTTAAGTCAGAACTTGTAAAATTTCTAGTAAACTATTAGGCCACAGATAATATAGTTGGAATTTTGGGTCATAAAACAATGAGGATAAATTATCAAGACACATGTTACCTGTTTTATGAAGATGGAGGACAAATTAAACAGGAAGTAGACAATCAGCTTTGTTGTGTCCATAACGAAGCTGACACTAGAATTATATTCCATATTTCTAAATTGCCAGAAAACGTAACCGTTACTATTCGTGCTGATATTTTTTTAATAGCTTTGGGTAATATGCATAAGTTAATAAATAAACCTAAAATCTGGATAGAAGTTGGACTGAGATCGAAAAATACTCGTACGTTATATTGCAGTTAATGACGTAAGTAGAGGGAGAAGGGGGTTTCTGCGCCAGTGGAGGGTGGAGGTGGAGGAGGGAGCGCACGGCGCATGCGCGAGGAGTGGGAGTACAGCGCAGGCGCGAGGAGGAGGGGTACAGCGCAGGCGCGAGGAGGAGGGGTACAGCGCAGGCGCGAGGAGGAGGGGAGCTGTCAAACGTCAAATGTCAAACGTCACCTGTCATCTGTCAAACGTCAAACCTGTCATCTGTCAAATGTCAAACGTCAAATGTCAAACGTCAAACCTGTCTTACGTCAAACGTCAAATGTCAAACGTCAAACCTGTCTTACGTCATCTGTCAAATGTCATCTGTCAAACATGTCTTACGTCATCTGACAAACGTCAAACCTGTCAACGTCAAATGTCAAACCTGTCATCTGTCAAACGTCAAATGTCAAACCTGTCTTACGTCATCTGTCAAATATCATCTGTCAAACATATCTTACGTCAAACGTCAAATGTCAATCGGTCTTACGTCATATCTGTTATATACAAGGTGTTAATGAAAAACAAACGCTTTACATCATAGATTGTTTTTTCACACCCGGTATATATTCCAAAAAAAAAATCTTTCCATGTTTTAACACAGATGATAATTTTAACGTTTGACGATTGAGTTTTAATTAATAATGCCTTTTGGGTATTCATAAATAATAATATTTATTTAAACGGTAAAAATAAATCAAACTTGATTTATCCATAACGATATGATGAGAGCGATGTGAACAAGACAATGGTTTACAGTAAAATGACCTAATACTTCAATCTTTACGGCTTCCTCTCATGATGTCATGCTTTTGTTTTTCTAGAAAATTTAAGATGAATTATTGTGATAAATATTTAAGTAAAATAAAATAAATCAAACTTGGTGAAAAATACATTGTGCAACATTTATTCCTTATCGGAGTTTGCGGACGGTATTATTTTTAATCAGCCTTAGCGGTTTCCGGTTTCCGGTATGATGACTATGATGTCACGCATTTGTTTTTCTAGAATTTTTCCAACATTGTGCAATCCTCCTTATCAGTTTGCGGTTTTCCGGTCTAGCATTGTACCCAGCAAACAACTCGCAATTCACATCAGTCTCTACCTACCTCTCGTTGAAAATTAGTCGATCCACCGCGCCGTATAAAAATAAAAAAATGTTTCTATGCAGCATTTGTGGGAAAGTGTTCGGCAGAAAGGATAATTTAGGCATATGAAGAGATGCGCTAATGGTGAGTTTTTATTTACTACTAATTTTTCAATATTTTAAATATATTATTTTTTAGTTAATAAAATCCAAACCGCCACGCCCCAAACCAGCGTGAACGACAGTGCTGGCCCCAGTAAACGTAAGTAAATATTTTTATTTTATATTCTGGCTTTAAAACGCTTTTTTTAGATACGTGCGAAAAATGTTCGAAAACGTTCAGCAGAAGTGACAGTTTAGGCAGGCATATGAAGAGATGCGCTAATGGTGAGTTTTTATTTTATTTTTTATTTTATATTAAATGGTTTTTTCTATTTTATTTTAGTCAATCTGCCTGAACCAAAAAATTTAGAGACGGTATCCCTGAAAAGAATGAGCTCTGCCACTAACAGTAAGTAATTATTTGTTTTTTCATTACTTTTAAATTAATTAACTATTTAATTATTTTTTTTAACATATTTTTCTATTATTTTTTTAACTTTTTCCATTATTTTTAAATTAATTAACTATTTAATTATTTTTAATATATTCAACTATTATTTTTAACTTTTTTTCAATTATTTAAACTAATTAACTATTTAACATATATTTCTATTTTTTTTAACAGAAAGCATCTATTTTATATTAAATATTTTTTTTCTTTTTATTTTAGTCGATCATGCAGAGTCAGAGTCTTCGGTGTCAAAGAGAGCTAGACTTGGTTTCCATAACGGTAAGTTATTATTATTTTTTTATACACCTTTTAAATTAAAATGTATTTTTTAGAACACTTGATAATGCAGGAGGAAGGTGTTTACCTCGTAAATACCGCATATAAACACCGAATTGCTACATATCGGCTTTTATCGAAAAAAGATCCTATCAGCGTTAATGATTTTTTAAATAATCTCCGTGAAAAAATCATTTCGCTGGTAAGATGCCAAATCGAGAGGTTTGGTAATGTGAAAGTCGGTATGGAGCTTTTCGGTCGCTTCCTCCTGCAGACAAAGGAGGTGGAGGAGACCAAGTCCTTTGGCTCGCGTTTCAGGGAGGCTAGTCAAGGTAGTGATTTGGAGGAGCTGTTTGATCAGTTCACCACTATCATTAAGCGGAGATTCCAGGAGTTCAATGAAAAAGATAGTGGTAAGTATATATTTTTTCTGTTTTTCACCATACTAATTATTTTTTCGTGTACATTAGGTTGGACTCTTCAGCAACTTCTCCACGTAGATGTAAGGATAAATAAAATCAACCCACTAAAAGCCTCATCTTACATACCATTACCGAAGGAAATAGAAGCGAAAAAAGCTGTGTTGAACATACAAAACACTGACCAGAAATGTTTTGTATGGTCGGTTTTAGCCGCCTTTCACCCAATTCCCCGAACTCAACATGCCAACCGAGTTCAGAATTATGAATCTTTCGAGCAGGAATTGGATGTGTCAGGTATAGATTTTCCGATATCTTTGAAACAGGTGTCAAAATTCGAACAACTCAATAATATTTCTATTAATGTTTATGGACTCGAGAAGGGTTATAAACATGATAGGAATATTATTGAAGTTGTGGGTCCTTTGTATTTTACTAGATCTCATAAGACAGATAGACGTGTGAATTTGTTATTAATCAGTGATGATTCTGGCAATAATCATTACTGTTTAATAAGAAATATGTCTCGCCTAATCTCCAAACAACTTTCAGGCAAACAACATTCAAAATTCTTATGCGATGGTTGCTTGGTTTATTTTTCTTCAGATATTAAATTAGAAAATCATCAAAAATACGATTGTGGTCACGTTGTAGTTGAAACTCCTTCGGATAATTTAAAGAAAAATAAATATGGTGAAAATATTCCCGAGAATATCCTTAAATTTACGAATTTCGAACGAAAATTAAAAGTACCTTTTGTTGTATACGCTGATTTTGAAACTATTTTGGAACCTATACAAACAGAGCAAAACGAGTTGGATCCTGAAATTTCCTATACGGTGAAACACACCAACACGTTCCTTATTCTTTTGCCTATTACATTAAATGCGATTTTGATAATTCTCAGTCGATTTTCAAGACTTTTAGGGGACCTGATGCACATAAAGTTTTCATAGATTGGTTAGAGACTGATTGTAAATCAATCTACAATCGATTTATGAAAAATATTGTATCCATGTCTCCTCTCAGTAGCGTACAAGAAGCCGAGTTTTATCAGATGACACACTGTCATATTTGCGAAAGACCATTTAATGTAGAAGATGAAAGAGTAAGGGACCACTGTCATCTAACAGGAAAATATCGAGGTGCGGCTCACTCTGTTTGTAACCTAAATTTTAAAGTACCTAATTTTATTCCTGTGTTCTTCCATAACATGTCAAATTTTGACAGCCATCTTTTTATAAAAGAATTGGCTGTGGAGGAAGAACGATTGGACGTCATCCCCCAAAACAAAGAAAGATATATTTCTTTTACAAAATATATTATGGTGGGGGATGACAACGATCAGGAAAAGCGACAACAAAAGATATTTTTAAAATTAAGATTTTTGGACAGTTTTCGATTCATGGCATCAAGTCTAGATAAACTAAGTCAAAATTTAACGTCTCAACAGTGTCGCGAAGTTAGGAAGTATTTCCCTAACGAAGAAGAATTTAAGGTTATTCGTATGAAGGGTGTTTTCCCATATTCATACGTAGATTCCTTTTCCAAATTAGACGATACCAAGCTTCCACCCATTGATGGCTTCTATAACGAACTTAGAAAAGAAGCCATCAAACAAGGAGATTACGAGCGTGCATTGAACGTATGGAATTTATTTAAATGTCAAACTTTAGGCGAATATTCAGAATATATTTAAAATCCGACGTACTATTATTAACTGATGTTTTTGAGAATTTTAGAGAGGTGTGTCTACAAACATACGGTCTAGATCCTTGTCAATACTTCACCGCACCATCTCTGTCCTTTGACGCGGCTTTAAAAACTACATCTATCGAGCTGAAATTATTGACAGATCTAGACATGATACATTTCTTTAAACACGGGATTCGCGGCGGTGTCAGTCAATGTAGTGTTAGAAAAGCTATCGCGAATAACAAATTTATGTCTATATACGACGCTTCCAAACCTACTTCCTACATTATGTACTTGGATGCTACCAATTTATATGGTGCAGCCATGTCGCAATATCTACCAACAGGTAACTTTACGTGGCTAACAGAAGAAGAAATTTCAAACTTAAATTTTATGAATATCGATAAAAATTCTAATATAGGTTATGTTTTTGAAGTCGATTTAGAGTATCCGGAGCATTTACATGATTTACACAACGAATTACCCTTTTGCCCAGAGTCCGTTCAACCAGAGGGATCTAAAGTTTCAAAATTAATCCCCAATTTTAATTCTAAAGTTAGATATGTAATTCATTATCAAAATTTACAACAAGCGTTGAACCATGGTCTGAAACTTGCCAAAATTCATCGCATTTTATCATTTAATCAATCTCCCTGGTTGAAAACCTACATTGATCTAAATACAGCAAAGCGTAATAACGCTGAAAATAAGTTTGAAAAAGATTTTTTCAAACTTATGAATAACGCTGTATTTGGAAAGACAATGGAGAACGTGGAGAAACGGGTAAATATTAAGTTAGTTACCCACTGGGAAAATATTGGTAGAAAGCTAGGGGCAGAAGCGTACATTTCCAAACCGCATTTTAAAGACTTGACGATTTTTAGCGAGAATTTAGTCGCAATACATATGGCTAAACAGAAAATCGTATATAATAAACCTATTTACGTAGGTTTTTCAATTTTGGAAATTTCCAAAACTATTATGTATGATTTTTTGTATAGTTATATTAAACCAAAGTACGGTAATAAAGCCTCACTGCTCTACACTGACACCGATTCTCTAATTTTACAAATTCAAACCGACAATTTTTATGATGACATGCGCGAAAATTTGGATAGATTCGATACGTCAAATTACTCGCAAAACAATCCACACGATATTCCTGTAAATTCGTCTGTGTTGGGCCGTATGAAGGATGAATATGCAGGAAAAATTTTGTGGGAGTTTTATGGAACTGGGGCTAAAGCATATTGTGTAAATGTGGATGGTGAGTTAACGAAAAAGGCCAAAGGCGTGCCTAACTACATCACCAAACAAGATATTAGTTTGGATGATTATAAAAACACAGTCGATGTAGCAGGTACGAAAATCTATCGCTCGATGAACACTTTCCGTTCACATTTACACAATATGTATGTAGAGCTAAAAAATAAGATAGTCTTATCCTACGCGGACGATAAGAGATTTCTTATTCCCAATTCCGAGTACACGCTCGCATGGGGCCATAAAGATCTAGGAAAATATAGGGATGAAATATCGGAAAATCTATAGGCTGAAACCAATGGCAGCTATTTTTTACTTCTATTTCCTTCGATATTTTATTTATTTTTTTATTTATTTATTTATTAAGATTTAGTTACTTTCATGTTTAAGAGGATGGGTTAATTTTATTTTTGTATTTTTAGTGTATTCTATTTAGAGTATTATATCCAATATATTTTATCTTACTATATTTAACATGTTTATATTGTATACAAATTTAGGCGTTTTATACTATGTCTACTGTTTGATTTAAGCTTTTCAATAGTTGCATTCAAATTTAGTAATTTTTCCTAACATAAATAATTATTTTTATTATATATTTATTTTACACATGTATTTAACAGTAATACTGAAAAACATTTTTCAAACTTTTTTATATTGTTCAAGACTGATTTTATAAAAAAAAAATGATTTAGAGTATTCTAAATAAAACAATTTTTTTCATTTCACTGTGTATTTATTTTCCACATTTCTCTCATCTAGTAAATTATAAAAAATAGGTAAACAGTATTTAAATAACAATATACAATCATCCTCCCAATCAAATAAGTTTTCCATTTCCTATCTTGAATTATCAGCACTTTCTACTTCTTCTTCAAAAGCATAAGTTATGTTTAAATGCCCATCAATTTCTATAGATTTATCACACCAATCACTATTAACGTTTTTATCAACAAAGTCCAGAAACGTTGAAAAACCTTCATATGACATTTGAATCTTCTTCTTCTTTTTGTTTGTACTTTGGAAAATAATTTGCTTTTCTGCCAGGTTCTCGGAAATGTTTAATGCTACATTAATTATTGGTTCTAATACACTTGATTTATCCATAACGATATGATGAGAGCGATGTGAACAAGACAATGGTTTACAGTAAAATGAGCTAATATTAATCTATGAGCTAATAAGTAAAAATACTGGATATTAATAGATTTAAATTTATTGAGTTAAAAGGTTTATAATATAATCATATAATATATGAACATTATTTACAGTACAAGAACATATTTCTAGTCTATGATAATTACAATTACTGTATGATTGTTCTAATTTCGGCACAGGTCCAGAAGTAAATTCCAAGTTCACTATACAGGGTGGATCAAGATTCATTTCGTTTTACGTGCACAGCAGAAATTCCTTTTTAATAGATCCTTTAACGAAAACCATATCGACACCTTCCAATTCCTCCTGTATTATGTTATACATCGCCTTATAGGGTAAATACCCTGAATTATAAGGGATTCCATGAACATTGTGAAATATATAATTTATCGTCTTCTTATGGTGTATCGACAGATGGTGGTAACAAATCTTTGGTTTAAACGTATAGGTTTTCTTTCTTTTCCATCGTATATGGATAATTCCTTAACCTCAAATTCGGGGATGGGAAATCCTTGTACGTCTATAACAACGAACTTCATCGTATCAATGTCTTGCAGCAACTGATTAAATTAGCGTTCTAACATGTCCTGATAAAGGTAAATATTCCATGACTCGATCGTATATGATGATACAAAATGCTCGGGTGTTTTCGGGGAAATTTTCCGAACTCTCAAATTCTAGCTTTACATCTATCACATTACTTTTCAGAGCCTCGTTTTGTTTTGAACAATCAATTACAAATAGGGCTCGACTGGCAAAAGCGGTAAAATCTAGCAAAGGTTCGCTATTGATCTTTCCCAAATACGATTTTTGAAAATCCGTATACATGGAATAGGCTTTAGTAAACTGTCTGGTTTTGAAATTTAAATCTAGGGATTCATATGGGTAGGCCTCGGAATTTAGATAAAGCTTGACATCTGTAATTTTCAAATTATCGAAATATGTGCCATCAGCTTTATAGTTATCTTTTCGATCTTCTTGGAAGAATACAATAACATATCTCGCTCGTTCAGATGCTGCCTTCACTGTCCATACATCTTTTCTCGCTTGTCGTAGTGCAGGTAGTTCATGAATTTCCCATTTCCTAAATCCAATAAATATCGGTTTGTCCTTGGAAATCGCTTCAAACAATTTTAATTTCACAGAATCGTTCGGGTAGATATGTTTTACTCTTAACTCGATATTCAAAATGGTGATGTCTGCTTTCTTGTTTCCCTCTGAATTAACATAACAATTATCATCCTTTTTGGCACGTACAAGCTTTAATTTCTGCGTTCCCATAATAGCACTAGTATAATCGGAGAAGACGTTCAATAGGAAATTCAATGGTATTAGGAGACTGAAATTATCCGTTTCTGGCTCATATGATTTCACAGTACCGCTAGGCCAATTCCATCCCGCCGCATCAAGGGCAGTACTTTCATTTTGATTGAGACACAAAAGACTTTTAACGGTACTTATAAGCCCTGGATCTCGTACTTTATCGATTACTTTTCCATTCAATTCATACGTTATCGATTCAAATAGAAATGCTCCAACGTTATTTGTCAGGGAACATTTTCCTGTTTTCACAACTGTCGATACTTCTTCCAAAAATTTCGCCTCAATGTATAATTCAGCCTGGCTAATATCCATAAACACATCCTGCTGATTAATAACAATTTCTATCTCATCGCTGTTCTTAAATGATTTGGTGAATGGGTGATACGTATGCCATTCTTCTCGAGCAATGGATTCATCTACGTTGACCGGTTGGAATATTTGTAGTTTTTCTGATACGGAGTCCATATTTACTGATAATATGGTGAAGCTGAAGTATGCTCTTGGACGTGAGCGTCTG